CCTCTGTCACAAGTCGAGCCTGGCCTCAGGCCGAACTCCGGGAGTAGAAGAACTCTCAAAACCCTCTCCAGGTATGTTCCAGGTATGCTACTCTAAACATAAGGGGCATAACTGGCCGACCTCTCATGGTGTTCAAAAGACAACTTGATAAAGCGCCTCGAAATAAAACTACTGGGTAAGCAGCCAGCAGAACAGGGTCAGATGCGAGCGAGAGCAACGCTTCCAATATTGGGAGATTTTAACCAGATCAAAACAGATTGGGCAACAAAGGAGTGTCAAATTCACGTGACAATGTGTCACTTGGGCGACAAAACGTAGGAAGCAAGGTATATGTGTTCGAAGAGGACAGATAATTTCTGACACATCGAGAAGCCAACACGATAAAGCCGGGATCCACCGGCTCCGCCGTACCTGACATTTACCCAAAATGAGGCCAAATGTCGGGAACACAAGGTACGAAATGCCAAAAGAAGCCAGCGACCACTACGTTATTGTACTCAAATAGAGAGTAGAGTTGAAGGACGAAGTAAGACGAATTGATCAGTCACCATTACATTTGAGGGCAGTAGAGGGCCGCCCAGGGTGAAGGGGGCTGGGGGCTGAAGCCCCCTATCCTCGCAGCCCACCAATAAGCAGCAGCTTATCATAGCCTCTTAGACAACCACGTGTTGATGGCACTTAGAGGCTATCGTAGGAAGCAATTTTACCTTCGTCCTGCCGGGTCTTCGCCCCTCAACGGGGCATATGAGACAGGCGGACCTACGATAATGGGAGTCTGGGATGGGGCTGGGATGTCTGGGATGGGGCTGGGATGTCTGGGATGGGGCTGGGATGTCTGGGATGGGGCTGGGATGCTGGGATGGCTGGGAGAGAGCCTGGGATGCTGGGAGAGCGCCTGGTATGCTGGGTGGTGCCTGTACAAGCCACGAGTGCCAGGGAAGTTCAGGGACCAGGGTGTCGCTGCAGGTGCCAGGGAAGTGAGAACAGCAGCAGGGAAACGGCCCATCAGGTGAGGCACGAGCCCACACGCCCCCTCCAGGGAACACTACCATGAGGCACGAGCCCACACGCCCCCTCCAGGGAACACTACCATGAGGCACGAGCCCACACGCCCCCTCCAGGGAACACTACCATGAGGCACGAGCCCACACGCCCCCTCCAGGGAACACTACCATGAGGCACGAGCCCACACGCCCCCTCCAGGGAACACTACCATGAGGCACGAGCCCACACGCCCCCTCCAGGGAACACTACCATGAGGCACGAGCCCACACGCCCCCTCCAGGGAACACTACCATGAGGCACGAGCCCACACGCCCCCTCCAGGGAACACTACCATGAGGCACGAGCCCACACGCCCCCTCCAGGGAACACTACCATGAGGCACGAGCCCACACGCCCCCTCCAGGGAACACTACCATGAGGCACGAGCCCACACGCCCCCTCCAGGGAACACTACCATGAGGCACGAGCCCACACGCCCCCTCCAGGGAACACTACCATGAGGCACGAGCCCACACGCCCCCTCCAGGGAACACTACCATGAGGCACGAGCCCACACGCCCCCTCCAGGGAACACTACCATACGGCTTTAAAACAAAAATTAAGCGAGAAAACATTTTTAATGCCTCGTCAGAAACCACTTTTATGGAATTTTGATGTAAAATTTAAAGCGGTAAGTCATTCGTGCATAAAACACCAGAGAGTCTTGGTCGGTGGTCGCAGCTGCTTGCTTAATATGTATAGCGTCTTTAAAGACATATTGTGTCCGTGTGGTATTGATGAGATGCAGCTGCACCTTGCAACAGCTGGCATGAAGGGCAGGCGCTGGAACCACCGGGAGGAATCAACTTTATACCTGGTTGATGGAGTTCTGGGAGTTCTTCTACTCCCCAAGCCCGGCCCGAGGCCAGGCTTGACTTGTGAGAGCTTGGTCCACCAGGCTGTTGCTTGGAGCGGCCCGCAGGCCCACATACCCACCACAGCCCGGTTGGTCTGTATTTATATGTATTTGAACATTCATCACAACTTAATCAATTCTATTTATTTAATTTCCGTATACCTTCATTAAAAGTTGTGTTAAGGACAAAATAATAATTTCATAAATACATTTTTCATGGTAGAGAAGTGTTTACCATCAAGGTTACATTACACAAACATTTACACTTTTATTTCTTTAATCAAGAACTGCCCTCAAAAAAAAAAAATCTTTTTTTTTTTTGCCAACTTGCCGCTCTTTGGCTCAATTTATCACCATCAAACATTTTCCCTGTCGGAGCACTGAACTCCTGAGATAAAATGCAGTTTTTTCCCCTTTCATTTTCATGTCAAGTTTAATTTTCAACATCCTTCATCGGCTGACTTCATGTTGTAAAAAATATTCAGCATCTCTCCCTCTCTCTGTCTAGAAGGTCAGCGTTGCCTTGTGTAGTGATGGCATAGTGATCCAACCTGGAAAAGCTGACTTGAGGTTGCAAGCACTTGGTTCGTATTGAACCAGCAATGTTGATAGGCTCTTATATCCAGCCTGGCATGGCAGGATGTGCAAAATAACAATAGAACATAAGAACCTATGAATGAAGGTAACTGTAGAAGACGTATTCCCTGGAAACACAAACCGAAATTGTCTCTATTTTCCGCCTGTTACAACTTGTAATAAAGTTGTTACATCTTGGCTTAACGTGTTTATGACGTATTAGAACGTTGTTACAACTTGCTATATTGGTTGTTATAACTGGTTAGGAAGAGTTAAAACTTGTTCGAACATTGTACCAACGTCGTAGTTTCGGTGTGTGATTGGCGGGTTGGCCCATACGAGGCAGCTCTCTATCTATATCCACCCAATCTCATTCATATATATATATATATATATATATATATGTCCTACCTACGCTTGAAACAATCAAGGGACCCCACTTCTATTATGTCACGCAGTAATTGGTTCCACAAATCAACAACCCTATTTCCGAACCAGTATTTACCCCAGGTCTTTCCTAAATCTAAACTTATCCAATATATACCCATTGTTTCATGTTGGCTTAAGAACTTAAGACAGGTACGCTGAGAGAGAGAACTCAGTGCACCTACGTCAACATCAAGCCAGAACTAGAACAACAGAGACATGAACGTGGAGTGATTAACTGATTAATTCCCTCATTGTTGGAATGAACTACACAATTCGGGAATACCCAGTTAATCATCCCACCTTCATGTCACTTCCATTAATCGATATTTTGTTTACGGATCGTTACCAACTATGGCGAAGAGGGGTAAATTATCCACCCCACGTCTTCCCCGTTCGTGTTCCTTGATATTGTGATGAAACACGAAAACGTTCGAAATTTTCGTTTCATTTCCCTAGTGGATACTTACGTATATCCGAATCACGTGTTTTTTTGGTGATTATTACCGGCTTGATGGGATTCTGGGAGTTCTTCTACTCCCCAAGCCCGGCCCGAGGCCAGGCTTCACTTGTGATTGCTTGGTCCAACAGACCGTTGCTTGGAGCGGCCCGCAGACCCACATGCCCACCACAGCCCAGTTGGTCCGGCACTTCTTTAATATTATATATATATATATATAATATATATATATATATATATATATATATATATATATATATATATATATATATATATATATATATATATATATATACATAGTACCAAGTTAGGGTTGGAGGAGCCTGAGCGACTCCCCCTTGACTGGTGGTTTTGTCGGTGGTCGGCTCCGTCTCCTCTACCATTTTTACCTCACTTCCTTCTCCGCCAAGACATTCTAAATGGAGCTTTAGTGTACTTGTTTTTTCGTGTCATCTTCTGGCTCCATGCTGCCTTATTTTTCCCAGAATGTTTAGAGTTTTTTGTCAAAATCCTGGCTGCGTTTATTGTTATATATATGTGTATATATATATATATATATATATATATATATATATATATATATATATATATATATATATAGAGAGAGAGAGAGAGAGAGAGAGAGAGAGAGAGAGAGAGAGAGAGAGAGAGAGAGAGAGAGAGAGAGAGAGAGAGAGAGAGAGAGAGTTACAACAAGTTGAGTACATTTTTACAAGCACGAAGGGCCATTGTCTACCCAATAACAATATCAACATATCCAGGTTACCTGTTTGTGGTTGTAGTAAAAAGACGTCTAGCTCTTGGCCCCCGCTTGCAAGATATTAAGTAGCCTGGTGCAAGGACTTTTGTACTTTTAAAAGGTTTATTTTATCTGCTGAATAATTGCTAACTGAATTCTTCTCTGCCACCTGTGTCCTCTCGTTCAGCTCTCACCTGTGTTCTCTCGTGTTCACTATGCACTGCACTAAGTTGCACTGTGCAACACTATGTACTGTGTACTGTTGGTACTCTAGTGCCTTGAGTACTAACAGTACACAGTGCTACATTAACACTAAAAAAGCATGAGTACCAACACTTCTGCACTTCACCTAGTGCCTATAGAGGGCTCCCCTAGTGGCACTCACCTAATAGAGCTTGCGAGGGTTGAGCTTCGGCTCTTCGGTCCCGCAACCCAACCTCAATGGTGACAATTTCACATCACAAACCTATTTGATCCAACTCTCTCTTTGAGTGTTAAAATTATTGCCATTGCACAGCGGCTGGCTCTATACACCTCCTTATTGCCGTCGGAAATGGCTGCCTGCATGCAACATTCACATGAAAGCAAAATACAAGAGCAAATAAAACCTAAAATACAGGATACAACCGGTTGCAGGTGTTTCTGAAACGCCTCTCTGACATGCACATGTTTGCGATGTTCATCGTTACATTAAGACCTAAGTTGTTTTATGACTTGAGTTGTCCTCGTAAGTGCAAACTGTCCTCCTTGCCGGCGGAAATGGCTATATAGGTCACTATCACACTGGATATATAGAGTGACGATCTATATATCTGATATATGCTCCTCTGGAGGGGGGGGGGGGCTGCTCCGCCTTCAGGTAGGTGCTTGAAGGTGTTGATATAACTCTTCATTCTCAGCTCTTGAGTTATGATGAGTTACGTGGCTGTCAGCGCAGTTATGATGATGAGTTACGTGGGTGTCAGCGTAGTTATGATGAGTTACGTGGCTGTCAGCGCAGTTATGATGATGAGTTACGTGGGTGTCAGCGCAGTTATGATGATGAGTTACGTGGCTGTCAGCGCAGTTATGATGATGAGTTACGTGGGTGTCAGCGCAGTTATGATGATGAGTTACGTGGCTGTCAGCTATGTAACTTAACAGATTGTGTGGACTGTCAACCGATCATGCATCTGGCAGCTTCGGCCAGTGATACCTGGTTGATGGGGTTCTGAGAGTTCTTCTACTCCCCAAGCTCGGCCTGATGGGGTTCTGGGAGTTCTTCTACTCCCCAAGCTCGGCCTGATGGGGTTCTGAGAGTTCTTCTACTCCCCAAGCTCGGCCTGATGGGGTTCTGAGAGTTCTTCTACTCCCCAAGCTCGGCCTGATGGGGTTCTGGGAGTTCTTCTACTCCCCAAGCTCGGCCTGATGGGGTTCTGAGAGTTCTTCTACTCCCCAAGCTCGGCGCGAAGCCAGGCTTGACTTGTGAGAGTTAAAAACAACTTGTCGAGTGGTACCTGTGGTACTAACATAGCTGTGATCACCTTGTACACAACACCTAACTTCCTAAATAATATTCTTAATATATCATTGTTCTAGTGGGGAAATATGGATATGGTGTTGAATCATACAGTGACGAATCATGAATATGGAGATATACTGTCGCATTAATTAATACATTAATTAATACATTCCTTGGTGATGAGTTTGTGTGTGGCTCACTGCAGGCAAATGTCGACCTAAGTAGCAGCAGTAGCCAGTTTAACGATGAGTTTCCGCATTCATCAACTCACTGGCCTGCTTTCACCCCCACCACACCTGCCTGCCATCTCCTTTCCACACCTGCCTGACCCCCCCCCACACCACACCTGCCTGCCATCTCCTTTCCACACCTGCCTGACCCCCCCCCCCACACCACACCTACCTGCCTTCCCCACACCACACCTGCCTGCCCTCCCCCACACCACACCTACCTGCCCTCCCCCACACCACACCTGCCTCCCCTCCCCACACCACACCTACCTGCCCTCCCCCACACCACACCTGCCTCCCCTCCCCACACCACACCTACCTCCCCTCCCCACACCACACCTACCTGCCCTCCCCCACACCACACCTGCCTCCCCTCCCCACACCACACCTACCTCCCCTCCCCACACCACACCTACCTCCCCTCCCCACACCACACCTACCTCCCCTCCCCACACACACCTGCCTCCCCTCCCCCCCAGCCCTGTAGACAAGGAGAACAAGTCCAAACCAGCCGTGATAACGACTCACTTTACAACCACCTAACTCAATTTGTGTTCATCATTACTGTGCACGCCGAGTCATCCGTCACAGGAGCACGGGGCTGCGCCGTCACACGAGGTAATGCCACCATTTGTTCAGAGCCGCGGCGCGGTGGTTACGCACTCGCCTGGCCAGCGATCTGGTCTGGGTTCGACTCCATCTGGCCAAGGAGGATTGACGGGGGGCTCCAGGTCTTTTAACCGCTTGCCTCTGTTCACCCAATTATAATGGTGTACCTGGTTGTTAACAGATTGGAGCTGATAGATTACACAAGTCGATAGTTTCCGAACTAATGTGGAAAAAAAGGAAGGCGTTGTGCATTGTTATATCCATATCTCCCTCCATCTCTCTCCATCTATATCTTCCTCCATTTCTCCATCCATATCGTTGTTGTTGTTGTTTAAGATTCAGCTACTGGGAACAAAACGTCCCAAGTAGCACGGGCTATGGTGATCCCGTAGTGGACTGACAGATCCATCCATATCTCCCTCCATCTCTCCAGTACCGACGGGAGAAGTAGCTGCCCGGTGGGAGGAAAGTATACTGGTGGTATAACACCACAGATGAGAAATATATTCTTAATATATATAGGGGGGAGGGGGTCAACCGCCTCTGCGTGCGTTTGTAGGGACCCTTGGCCTTGAAGAAGAGGATATGTAGCATATCTTCATTCAGCTAGGTACTAGGAGGCTCGAACACCCGACCCTAGACAGTAAAAAAACGGTGGCACTACCGACTGTGCTACGAGCTAGCCACAATAAGAGTGTGAAACACAAACACAACTGATATTTTTCTTAACTTAGCATCAGTTAATAGTTCAATTAAATTGTGTTTAATTCTTTGTTCGGGTCAGATTTATGAAGCGTAATTAATCTCCCTCTTCAGTATGTGTGTGTTTGTGTGTTTGGAAATACAACAAGGGAAGAGACCTATCAGGAGAAAGTACCAAGCCATTACGACTATATAGCACTGGGAAGGAGCCAGGATAAGGATTAGGGATGGGACGGTGGGTGAGGAATGGTGCCCAACCACTCGGTCGATCGGGGATTGAACACCGACCTGCATGAAGCGAGACCGTCACTCTACCGTCCACCCCTAAGTGGTTGGACATACAAGATACAATTACATTACTGTAACAATCGGAACAATACACAAACATTGCTACACTTACATATTTCTGTAACTCTTTTCAAATGCATTTACTGAGTGCTGATTTTATTGTCATGTGTCGCAAATCTCTCGTGGAGCAAATGTTGCGAGAGAGACTGTTGAGAGTGTGGATAAATCTCCAGTGTTCGGGTACAGGCTGAGGCAACCGAACGTTCAGAATAAATACGAACGGTGTCGCTGGCCAGGGATTTATGTTAGCAGGGATGGTTATTGATGTTATTGACGCTGAGGTTACTATAACCTGATGTTATTGATGATTAGGTTACTATAACCTAATGTTATTGATGATTAGGTTGCTGTAACCTGATGTTATTGATGATTAGGTTACTATAACCTAATGTTATTGATGATTAGGTTGTTATAACCTGATTGTTATTGATGATTAGGTTGCTATAACCTGATGTTAATGATGATTAGGTTACTATAACCTGATGTTAATGATGATTAGGTTACTATAACCTGATGTTAATGATGATTAGGTTACTATAACCTGCTTGTACGGCCATCAACTGTTGTGTCACCAGGTTGTTAGTGCAGCTGGTGCTGCTGACACGTGGTTATAGTCATAAAATGATGTTGCCTGGTTATAGAAGTCAATCCTGTGAGGCATGATCTGCCATCCCTGAACCCGTGCTGCTGATGTTGTGATACAAAGTTCTTTCGCTCCAGATGTTCCACTAGTTTTTTTTTCGCACAATCTTCTCCATCAGCTTGCATGGTATGCAAGTTAGGGACACTGGCCTGTAGTTCAGTGCCTCCTGTCTATCCCCCTTGTGTGTGTGTGTGTGTGTGTGTGTGTGTGTGTGTGTGTGTGTGTGTGTGTGTGTGTGTGTGTGTGTGTGTGTGTGTGTCTGTGTGTGTTTGCTTGCTTGTTTCTATATGACAACACTGTTAATGGTGTGTTCCTCCCCCCCCCCAGCCATCTACAGCCTCCACACCTGCAGCGACTAGGTGTGTCTCCCCACCACCCCCTATCTTATACAGGATCAACGAAACAGTTGGATCTTCTATCCCCCCAACAAAAATTTCCGTCAGTCGCCCCGGGTCGACTCCTCGCTGGCAACGCCATGTGTGGCTTAATACATGTTGTCAGTCTTGGAGCTGGTGTTTGTGGAGTAAGTCGCCTGTGATGGGAGGCATCAGGCACGGGTCTGGAGGCTAGAAATGAAGTGCTTGCTATACCCTGTGTCCTTGTTGCTACACCTGTGTCCTTGTTGCTACACCTGTGTCCTTGTCGCTATACAGGTGTGTTCTTGTTGCTATACAAGGGTACCGGATAAAGTTGAAGACCTAAGAGCCTGGCAGCCCTCCACCAGGTGTGGAAGGCTGCCAGGTGATGGCAGCGGTGAAGCAGGTGTGGCGGACTGCCAGGTGATGGCAGCGGTGAAGCAGGTGTGGAGGGCTGCCAGGTGATGGCAGAGGTGAAGCAGGTGTGGTGAGCTGAAGGTTGCCAGAGAACTAAACGAAGCCTCACTTCCATCTAAACAATCGTCACCATCATATCACGATGGTGAGAGACCATAAGACTCTCGCTTTCCTAAGACCTGTTCACTATCACACAAGCGAAAATGACCCCAACACGAAGGTGCAAGCTGCCGGTGAAGATCTGGATACGTCAGAGTCATTTTCCTGCTCATCAGTTAGGCGAGAATTGCCCCAAAAACGCGAATTGTTCCAATATTCGCGCCATCACGCGAATACCGGAACAAGCCGTAGGAAGAGCCACACTCCCAGAATAATCACAGGACCCAATCGCAAAGAAAATGGTAAACAACACAGCAAGCGAGAAGAGAAGAGATAAAAGAATAAGGAGAATAACTTGAGGAATTGGTTCATCTGGAGGAGCAGCCTTACACACCACACCTTCGAGGACATCCACACCAGGGGAATGAGGAATGGAGAATAATTACTGGAAGTGGGATAATGTGATGAAGTCAGTACATAAGGGAAGGGATTGTGGGATGTGTGAATGTGATGCCTTAGAGGAGACCTTAGGAGACAGGTAATAGTAATATCTGAAATTCGCCATAATGGTTCGAATCCTGGGCCAGGGAGGATTAACTGGGTGCTAATCCTTAACTGTTCGCTCGTATCCACACAGGAGTAATTGGGTGAACTACCTTCCCACGAGGTTGTTAACCAATTAGCGGGTGGAGTTCCAGGGTATACTAGTGTGGTAAGGTTTACTTTACTCTTGTAAAGAACAATGTTAACGGCTCTCTCTCTCTTAAGGCGTAAACCAGGACTTATCAAACATTTAAGCAACGACTGACGAAACCTGTAGATCTTTCCTCAGTCACAACTGCTTTACCTTTATTAAACAGGTTATGAGCTCTGAAGCACTATGAGGTTGTTTATAACACAGATAACCGCGACTTGTGAGGCTTCGAAGCTCGAGAAATGATTCATAAATGTAAACAATGCCGCTATCATTAATCAAAGATGCACAGGTTTCGTAAATAGTTGTGTAGCTGCTTCACGAAGCCTGGCTCCTGGGCACCTAATCTTGGTGGTCTACCAGTCACGTGTATTACACACTGCGACCTCCTGCCAACCACAACAGTCTTTTGTATTACATTTCTCTTCCTATTTGTTATGACAAAGACTTTGGGTCTGAGACGTGTGTGTGTGTGTTTGTAGTCAGAGAGGGACACACACACACACACACATACACACACACACACACATACACACACACACACACATACACACACACACACACATACACACACACACACACACA